CTTTGCTCCGCGTCTTCCTGGTCTGCAGACCAGGGAGACGCGGAGCAGCTTTTCTCACCCGGAGTACACGGGCGGCGGGACCGCGAGGTCCTGCAGTCCGTGTACTCTGGGGCAGCCCCGTTTGTAACTGCGGATCCGACATAAGTCGGATCCGCGTAAGTCGGGGACTGCCTGTATTACAAACTACACTGGCTTAGCTAAGGTTTAGCAATTTAGTTAAACTGGTGCATCCCTCAGGTGAACAGGGCCATCCTTACCCATATTCAGAATATGCAATTGTGTAGGGCACCCGAAAATTTGAGGCACCACTGAGTCATAGGCTACGTCTACACTGCATCCTTCTTGTGGAAGAAGACATTCAAATGAAGCGCTCATTAGCAACGTTTCGCACTTCATTTGCATATTATCTTCCAATGCTTTTTGCGCAAGCGGTTTTTGCGCAAAAAAAAGCAGTGTAGACGTGTCCGTTTCGCGCAGAAAAAACCTTTTTGCACAAGAACCTGTAAACCTCATTTTTTGAGGAATAAGGGTTCTTGCGCAAAAGGTTTTTTTCCCGCAAAACGAACCCATCTATACTGCATTTTTTTGCACAAAGCCTCTTTTGCAAAAAGCATCGGAAGACAATATGCAAATGAAGTGCGAGATGTTGCTAATGAGCGCTTCATTTTCATTTCCTCTTCCACAAGAGGGATGCAGTGTAGACGTAGCCTAAATGTCTACCCACCCATCCGCTAGGAGCAGACTGGCAACCAAAATAGGCCTGGGAATGGCCCTCCCCATGATGTCACCCCTGCGTGCCCCTCAAGCCCCGTCCCATTTCCCTGCGTCACGTCTGGCACGTAGCACAAGCGGCGGGTCAGGCTCCGTGTGCCGCATACAGCACGGACGCAGAGCCGCTCGGAGTGTGGGGCAACGACGGCCCATCACCCACCGGGAAATTCCCAGTATCCTGCCAGGCCAGTCCGCCCCTGCTGTCTGCTCTTCCTATCCCTGGCCTGTGTCTCTGCTTCATCCAGAGAGGATCTACTTAATTTAAAACTAAAAAGCCTGCCAGACCTATTAGGAGCACACGGAACCTGTAAAGAACCATTCTAGAGGTAACAAAGCCATTTCACAGGTATTTGCCAGCCCCAGGTATATGGATGTACTGTGTTAGTTGACAGGACCTTAGTTTAAAATTTTCTTTAGCTCTATTTCATTAGTGTGTTGCTGGAGATTATAAATCACATCTCTGAACAATTGTCATTCCCCGCGAGGCACAGGGGCACCAGTTTAATAGTATTATGTAGGATCCCATAAATCCTAAGGATGGCTCTGCAGATAAACATTTATTTGTAAAAACTTAGCTGAGGTCAGTAAGGAGTCAATTCATGGTAACTTGATACAAGCCAGGTTTAAACTAACATAAGGGTGTTCACACAGGGGTTTGCATCAGTTTAACTAAAGCAGTGTAAAAACACACCTTTTAGTTCAACACAGCTTGGAATGCAGACAAGGGCTAGAAGGCAGCTTTAGTTTTATGGAGCTGATTCTCCACTGCCTTGCCAGTGCATTTGGCACCCACTTTGCACAGGTGTATGTCACCGCACGAGGTGCCAGGGGGTGGAGAGTCAGACTTGTGTAATTACAATGGCTTGCGCATTAAATGTGTGAAGTATTACAGCCCACATTTCAAAAGCGTCTTTGCTTTTGCCGTTTGATAAGTGACTGATGCTTCATTTCACATAGAGAGGGGGAATCTGTACATTACAGGACAATAAAACTTTATTTTATTTTGAACCTTTAATACAAATGGTTTCCTAAAATGCTTTAAAGAGTTACATTATAGTAATGGAAGAAAGCAGCTTACAAGGTTAACTAGGGCCAGGGAGAAAACAGGAAAGTGTATCAGCCACAGAGCTACAGGAAGACTATTATAGTTGGCAAGAGTTGCAGAGAAAGAAGTTCTCAATGCTACATTGCATGAGGAGGGGCTGGAAAGACAGATGATATTGCTAGCAAAGGAAATCTGACCTAGGTATGGGTTATCTCTCAAGTTTTTGTATTTCCATCTGGATGTCCCCTTGTCTCAGCTAACGCTATTCCTTCCTACTTTCAGGAGAAAGAAAGGAGGAGGACTAACCCCAGACCTCAGCCGGCAAGCATTTGAGAAAAAAGGGAAAGCGAGCAGTGCGTCTTATAAACTCCGGAAAGCAAAGTCTCTGGTAAGTATCTCTAAGACCTGACATTATCAACACAGGATCTAAGTATATTTCACCGGGGATCTGCTTGGCTCAAACCATTTATATAACTCTAAATATCGCTGGTACCTTGGTCCACAAATAGATCTGATCAGATTTTGTTAACTGTCAACTGTTCAAGCTGCGATTCTCTTCCTTTCTTGTAACTTACATTTTAAATCCGAGTTCCAATGCTATCTAGGAGGTGGCATTCTGCTACAGGTTGAACTTTTCTAGTCCTGACCAGTGCTGAACCAGAGAATTTGCTGGACCACGGGAGGTCAGTATTGTCTAGCAGCATTACCAACACTTCCACTGTGGACTGGGCTCTTAAACCACATTGAGGGGTACATTAGAGCTAAATAACAGCACAGAACACTCAGGGTATGTCTACACTACATGGCTCCGTTGACGGAGCCATGTAGATGAGCTTTGTAGACATAGCAAAATGAAGCGTCAATTTAAATAATCACCGCTTCATTTACATCAATATGGCTGCCATGCTGTGCCAATCAGCTGTTTGCTTCGTGGGATGAGGTTTACCAGGGCGGTTGACAAAGGCTTTTGATGTCGACTGCCGAGCGTCCAGACTACCACACTGAGCCGACAAACAGCTGATCAGCACAGCGCAGCAGCCATTTTGATGTAAATGAAGCGGCAATTATTTAAATCGCCACTTCATTTCCCTATGTCTAGAAACCTCATCTACATGGCTCCGTTGACGGAGCCATGTAGCCTAGACATACCCTGAGAGCCAGGACTGGTGGCTGTAAACAAATTTTATGGGACTGCAAGAAACTTGGCCAACCCATGATAAGTGGATTCCACCTAACTCAAATCATGCTGGACCAGGGATGTTGCCAGACCAGAGAGTGCTGGACTAGAGAGGTCCAGCCTGTAATAGGAATGGTTTCTTTCATGAAAACATTGTAATTAGATATAAAGCAGAATCACATTAGGGAGAAACATGCTGATGTGGAGCCAGATTTATGAGTATTAATTATGATTTGTGTTGCAGCAGAGCCTATAGACCTTATGCCAGGCACTGTATCAACACTGACAGTCCCTGCATTGGCCGAGGGAAGGAGGAAGTGCATGGAACATCTTTCTTCCCTTAACTCTTCTGTGCAGGGAGTTATATTGCTGGGCCTGATTCACCTGTCACTCCAGTCACACACCCTCATAAGCCAGAGGTCAGAGAAATCACACTGGTGTGAGAAGACAATCTGGGCTCCCTGAGCACAAAAGGGGGCAGCCAGCTTGTCCAGGTGTAAAATGGGGATGAACATAGCTATCTCACATTGACGCTGGGAAGCGTAATTCCTCCATAGCACTGAGCAGATTATAACTACCAATGTCTGTGAAGTACGCTGGGGCCTTGGGAGGAAAGTGCTAGGGAAGTATAAAGCCTTATTCTCAAACATACTACATGGGGCATATTTGAATGAAAACAATTCAAAATAGAGTCCTTCAGTATCGAAGCAGCTTCTGTTCCCTCAGATGTCAGGCTCATCTCCTTGGATCCAGTCCGGATCTCAGAAGAGCCTACCTAGAGTCAATCATACAGCAATGGCAAAACTCTGGGTCCCAAATCTTCATAGATATTCAGGCACCTAACTCTCTCTGGGTATGTCTACACTACAGCACTAATTCGAACTAATTTAATTCGAATTAGTTAATTTAAACTAAGCTAATTCGAACTAGTGCATCTAGACCTAAATACTAGTTCGAATTAGCATTTTGCTAATTCGAACTAGCATGTCCACACAGAGTGGACCCTGAACCAGAGTTAAGGCTGGCCGGAAGCAGTGCCGGCAGGGCATCAGATTAGGACTTAGAGCGTGGAGCTGCTGTCTCAGGCTAGCCGAGGGCTGTGCTTAAAGGGACCCGACTCCCATCCCAGACAGACAGTTCTCAGGGGTTCCCCGCTTGCAAAGCAGTCCTGGCTTGAAGTGCCCTGAGTGCCCACACTCGGCACATCACAGCACTCGGCCATCAGCCCGGCTGCACTTGCCGCAGGCTGCCATCCGGGAGGGTGAATCGGGGGGCTGCAGGAGAGTTTCCACCCCGAGGAGCCCGCAGAGCCACCCCAGTCCTCCTCATCGGGGGCTCATACCCCATTCCTCCCTCACATCCTTCCACTTACCCATCCCTTGCCCCCCTTCCTGATGTACAAAATAAAGGACATGTATGTTCAAAAACAGAAACTCTCTTTATTGAACAAAACTGAGGGAGACTGGGAAAAGGAGGTGGGAGAGGGGAAGAGAGAGGGTGGGAGAGGGGAGGGCAACTAAAATGATGAGGGGTTTGGAACAGGTCCCATATGAAGAGAGGCTAAAGAGACTGGGACTTTTCAGCTTAGAAAAGAGGAGACTGAGGGGGGATATGGCAGAGGTCTATAAAAGCATGAATGGTGTGGAGAGGGTGCATAAAGAAAAGTTCTTCATTAGTTCCCAGAATAGAAGGACTAGAGGACACTAAATGAAATGAATGGGTAGCAGGCTTCAAACTAGTAACAGAAAGTTGTTCTTCACAAAGCAAAGAGTCAACCTGTGGAACTCCTTGCTGCAGGAGGCTGTGAAGGCTAGAACTAGAACAGAGTTTAAAGAGAAGTTAGATAAAGTCATGGAGGTTGGGTCCATGGAGTGCTATTAGCAAGGGGGTAGGAGTGGTGTCCCTGCCCAAAGTTTGTGGAAGGCTGGAGAGGGATGG